CCCCAAAACCCCAAAACCCCAAAACCCCATGAAATTGAATTTTGTGAAACGGCTGAAATTATTAAATTAAAGGATTTTAATTGAGTATTTGAAAAGCTATAAAATTCCGTTTAAAAATAATGTCTAAAAAGTGCAATTATTATTAACCATTAATACGGATCTCTTATTTTTGTGTTAGAGTTTATTAATTTTAGTTCTATTGAACTACTAAATAATCTCATTTTGGCCTTTTGTTAATTTTGCGTCGAATGAGATTTAATTTGAATTATAATATTCTATAAAGTTCGGAGCTTAGATATATGATTAATTTGATGTCATATTCTAACTGATTTATCTAATGTCTTTTCAATTCTTTATTCCTCATTAAATAAATATCGATAACATGATATCACTTCTCTAAATTATCAGTGAGATGGATAATATAAAATTCATAGAATCTTCACATTACTAGAAATGTACAATCAAACAAAGTAGGTCGAAATAAGTTCTCATAATAATTTAGTGAGAAACTTGATAAGAACTATAAAATTATATTAAAATGATGTATTCAGGAGAAGTTTTAAGATATTAATTTGTTTTAGTAACTGGCCAATTACCATCAGTTTTGAATTGATAAGTCGAATCATGACTTGATCGATAACTCATACAAGACGCTAATAAAATGAAGAATTAAACCTAACTAATTTTTAGAGAATAATTTATATTTGAAATACCAAGCGGTGACTCCTGTTAAATTTTATTTTGCACCTAAAATTAACTGAATTTCTTATCTAGTAGCAAGCAGTTAAAAATTAAGTATTTAAAGAATCAGACTTAGAAAAATTATAATAATAAAGATTACAACCACAGTTGAAAAATGAACAAGCTTACCATTTTATTACTAGTCATCTTCGCTCTTATCGCCATTGTTAGCGGACAAGGTCTTGAAGCTAGTGAAGAAAGAGATTTATCAAGAAAGGCTGCTGCCAGAGACTTATTGAAAAAAAGCTCAGCAAGAGATCTTGGGAAAAGAAGTGCTTTCAGAGACTTAGTGAAATAACATGGAAATAGAGATCTATTAAGCAAGAAAAGAGATCTTGGTGAAGACATTAGAAGAGAACTTAGGGGTGCAAAGAGAGTTTTGGAATTCAGAAATTTGATACTTTGAAGAATGTCTTGATTATCTTAAATTTCCTAAGAAAAGTATTTTAGAAGTTTACCTATGATTTGATAAATTCTTAAATTCACTCTAATAAGCATAATTAAGATATTTTCTATGACATAAATAATTTCTTATAAAAAATGCACTCGTAGCTCTATTAATAAATATTAGAATAAGTGCAGCTTTATTAGTTATCAAAATGGATTATTTTCATTCTTGTCTTAAAAATTAAAATTAAAATTTGTTTTCAATTGTTTAATACAAGTTTAATCTGCTTTTATGGGGTTTTGGGGTTTTGGGGTTTTGGGG